TAAAATTTCTGATAACTGCTCTAATCTACTGCATCATTGCTGTGAGACGAGAAGAGCTCCCATCCCGACAAAAGTTTAAACACATTAACAATCTTTGCTGTAGGAAAAAAAATTGATCAGCCTACAGTCTGAAAAATAAAGGCTTTGTAGAAATTTTTTGCAAATACCACTAATATTGATTTTGGTTTCTAAAAGTTAAACAAGGTTGTAAAATTTTGATGTACTTTTGCTGAAGTCTGGCTATTGTCTACAATAAAATTTGCGTACAAACTCCTATTGTTGAAAAAAATTGACCAGCCTTCAGTCCGAAAAATAAAGGTTTTGTAGAAATGTTTTGCAAATACCACAAATATTGATTTTGGTTTCTAAAAGTTAAAAAAAGGTTGTAAAATTTTGATGCACTTTTCCTGAAGTCTGGCTATTATCTACAATAAAATTTGCGTACAAACTCCTATTGTTGAAAAAAATTGACCAGCCTTCAGTCTGAAAAATAAAGGCTCTGTAGAAATGTTTTGCAAATACCACAAATATTGATTTTGGTTTCTAAAAGTTAAACAAGGTTGTAAAATTTTGATGTACTTTTCCTGAAGTCTGGCTATTATCTATAATGAAATTTGCGTACAAACTCCTATTGTTGAAAAAAATTGACCAGCCTTCAGTCCGAAAAATAAAGGTTTTGTAGAAATGTTTTGTAAATACCACAAATATTGATTTTGGTTTCTAAAAGTTAAACAAGGTTGTAAAATTTTGATGCACTTTTCCTGAAGTCTGGCTATTATCTACAATAAAATTTGCGTACAAACTCCTATTGTTGAAAAAAATTGACCAGCCTTCAGTCTGAAAAATAAAGGCTCTGTAGAAATGTTTTGCAAATACCACAAATATTAATTTTGGTTTCTAAAAGTTAAACAAGGTTGTAAAATTTTGATGTACTTTTCCTGAAGTCTGGCTATTATCTACAATAAAATTTGCGTATAAACTCCCATTGTTGAAAAAAATTGATCAGCCTATAGTCTGAAAAATAAAGGCTCTGTAGAAATGTTTTGCAAATACCACAAATATTGATTTTGGTTTCTAAAAGTTAAACAAGGTTGTAAAATTTTGATGTACTTTTCCTGAAGTCTGGCTATTATCTACAATAAAATTTGCGTATAAACTCCCATTGTTAAAAAAAATTGATCAGCCTACAGTCTGAAAAATAAAGGCTCTGTAGAAATGTTTTGCAAATACCACAAATATTGATTTTGGTTTCTAAAAGTTAAACAAGGTTGTAAAATTTTGATGTACTTTTCCTGAAGTCTGGCTATTATCTACAATAAAATTTGCGTACAAACTCCTATTGTTGAAAAAAATTGACCAGCCTTCAGTCCGAAAAATAAAGGTTTTGTAGAAATGTTTTGCAAATACCACAAATATTGATTTTGGTTTCTAAAAGTTAAACAAGGTTGTAAAATTTTGATGTACTTTTCCTGAAGTCTGGCTATTATCTACAATAAAATTTGCGTATAGACTCCCATTGTTAAAAACAATTGATCAGCCTATAGTCTGAAAAATAAAGGTTTTCTAGAAATGTTTTGTAAATACCACAAATATTGATTTTGGTTTCTAAAAGTTAAACAAGGTTTTAAAATTTTGATGTACTTTTCCTGAAGTCTGGCTATTATCTACAATAAAATTTGCGTATAGACTCCCATTGTTAAAAACAATTGATCAGCCTATAGTCTGAAAAATAAAGGCTCTCTAGAAATGTTTTGCAAATACCACAAATATTGATTTTGGTTTCTAAAAGTTAAACAAGGTTTTAAAATTTTGATGTACTTTTCCTGAAGTCTGGCTATTATCTACAATAAAATTTGCGTATAAACTCCCATTGTTGAAAAAAATTGATCAGCCTTCAGTCCGAAAACAAACGTTTTGTAAACATTTTTTTACAAATACCACAAATATTGATTTAGGTTTCTAAAAGTTAAAAAAAGGTTTTAAAATTTTGGTGTACTTTTCCTTAAGTCTGGCTATTTTCTGTCATAAACTTTGCCTATTAACTCTTGTTATTGAAAATTTAGGTTGTATTTGGTGAAGGCTTTAAGACATTGTAGGACAACTTTCTGCCTAGTTTGAACAATGATATCATACATCTTTGAATAAAAAGTGATGTCTGTGTTATAGAGAAGGGCAATTGCTAATCAGCACTGGCTTCAAAAAGTTACAAAAGGTATTTTATGTGTTGGCATTTTCTTTTTTTCTATTTCATTATTTTGAATTTTTTGCTATTTCATATATTTCCTATTTAAGGAATGAATCATTTCTGGATACTGCAATGTTTACTTTTAACGTTTTAATTTTTATTCCAAAACGATTTTAATACAATTTTACTCAAGAAACATGCTTTTCTCTTTCAATTAGGTAAGGCAATGTCTGAGATCATTTTTATCTCGTGAAAGATTGCGAGCAATGCTGAGAAAATGTGTCAGCAACTTTCGTTTTAGTGTAATTCTGTGACGTTTGTACACTGACATTCAAAAAGTATGGAGCCTTAGATAAACAAAATTCTAGTGTTGAATTCTATTATGTTTCGTAAAAGAAATCAGTTCAGATTCTCTAAGTCTTTATTCATATAATATTTGTCTTTGTTTCCTTGAAGAAATTCTTAAAAGTTTGAATTATAACCATGGAAACGAAGGAACCACGCGAATTATTGCATATATAAGCAAAGTAAGATCACAAGTTAAATGGCCTAGCATGAGTAAAGTCAGATGACATTAAAAGTTCCTCAGAATTAGGCCAACAAACCCAAATACTTTAGAAACATATGCATAGCAAAAAACTGTACACAAGTAACTATAAAAAACATATTAGGTTTGCTGAATCAAACACGACAATATCAATATGGTTAATTTTAGACTTTCACCCGAGCTGCGTTTTTTAACTGCTAAACATGTAAAGGTCAATACGATGACTAATATTTTGTAATCAATGGGTATTTTTCCATAGGTTCTTTAAACATTTTTATGATTTTCCAGCTTTTTGCCTCATTACAAAATGTAGCTTTCTTCAAAGGCATTATAATACCGCAGAAGAGACCTTTTATCTTTGCAAACGTCTTTGGCATGCCAACTTTCGGTAGACTTTGCGCAGCTCTTGAATGGACAAACTTTTCTGCATACGGCAAAATTTGTCATCTTGATCAGCCGATAGTTGCCAAAATTTCGATAATTGTTCCCATTTTACTATCAAAAAACAATTTTTGACATTTTATTGTTAGTTAGTTCTTAATTTTTGAGTTCTCCATGTTGGCGTTTCAAGGTCTCCAAAATTTCAATGGTTTATTTTTTTCGAATCAATTGTCATACCCAACAATCTTCAAATAATAAACAATACATTGTGAAAATTTTATGGAAATGTACAAGAAGGGATTAAAAAAGTCTCTAAAAACTCATTTCATCAAAAGCCTTCGAAATTTCGTAGGTGTCCCAATACTTTTTTAACGTAATGCACAAGAATGACATTTTTTGCATTCAGTCTTCCATTCTTACAAAAGAAAAATAAAGAAAATATGTCAAATGAAAAATGGGATCTATTATAACATGTTTGCTATGCCTGGAGACATTTTTCTATTTCTTCAAAATCAGTATGAAGGATTGTTTCGAAAAACTTAATCATTTTAGGACAAAGAGAACATTTGTTTCCCTATTGATACTTTTTTCAGCAATTCAATGCCATTTCCAATATCGTTTTAAGAAATACTTTTTAGTTTGCTAGCTATATCGCGGCAAATATGTAAAGGTATCAGAAAAGAAAATAATACTAAATTGCAAATATCATATGAATGACTATTTCATAAAATAGTTGCTGATACAAAAAAATGTAAAAAGAATGAGCGTCATTTATGTCACCACTCTTTCAGTGTTTATAAATTCAGGATTGATTGGTTTGCTATAGATTCAGCAATCCCCATTAACGATTACAACAGAACCCAAGCGATAATATTCAAATAAAGAGTGGCATGGCGCGAGTTGCCAAAAATTCACAAATATATTTTAATGTAGATGTGGTAATAATATTCTTTAACGTTCATCATATTTATCAACGTCATCTGCATTTAAATCCCCTATCGTTTGAAATTTAGCGTCAATTTATGAGTCGCTGTGACACTCTGGACAGTGCCGTGCGGCTTTCTGTCGTTGGGTGTTGCTAGTGGTCACTCTAGGTGGCGCTCTCTGTCACTCTATACTACTCTATGTTGCTCTGTATTTCTCTGTAAAGCTCTGAGCCACCGTCTGTCACTCTGGGTCACTCTGTAGGCTCTGTGTCATCATTTTTTGCTTTGTGTCGCTCTAAGTTACTCTGTGCCACACTGTTTCTCATTTTGTTGCTTTGTGTTGCTATGTAACGGGCAGTGTCGCTCTGTGTCTCATTTGGTTTCTTCATGTTGCTATGCACCGGTCTGTGTCACTTTGCATTGTTCTGTGTCGCTTTGCTCCATTCTGTGTTACTCTGTATCACCCTCTGTTACTCTGAATAGATATCAACCTGCGTTGCTCTGTGTCACTATTCGTATATCTATGTTGCTTTGTAACATTCGGTATTGCATAGCCCCACTGAGTCACTGTCTTTCTGAGAAGCTCTGTTGTGCCCTTTGTTGGGCTGTGTTGCTCTGTTTTGCTCCAAAGAACAGTGTCCGTCTGAGTCAGCCTGCCACCGTCTATCTTTCAACGTTTTCAAAATTAATCAAGTTCAGTTCATTAACACTCAGTTGAAATATGCAATTACTTCAAACCTCAATTAAGTCAAATTGCTATTCGATGTCTTTATAGCAGAACCCCTCTATTTCATCATTAAAAAATAACTTCACTTCAAAACCTTCTAACTGTCCTAAACCAGATCCTCATAGGGCTCTGTTACTCCAGCTGAAAAATTTTCATTACTGAAAATCCCATTTTTTATCTTTCTTATATTTTCCTCTAGCAATCCCAGAAGGGATCCTTTGTGATTTCTGATTCCTACGCGAAAACATTATTTGAATCGCCATCAAAAGTCTCTAGCTTAACCTCTTCTTCAGAAGACTGTTCAAGCAATGCGTAGACCTACAAAAAATATGAGAAGCTATATGAGATATAAACGTATAAACCCATAAACAAATGCAGCCTTAAACATAAAAGCAAGGCCGTTTCCATGCAATTAAGTCCTATTAAAACAGTTCCATTGAAATTTTCAATTAAGGTTTAAGAACATCAAAGTTCGTAAAAGTGTATTTAGACAACATTCACCTTGTCTAACGCTGCTTTGGACCTCATAGCCTCCTGTCTCATATCCTGGCCAGGAATATTTTCATTTCTATCCTCTAATGTTGATCTGTCTTTTGTTACATTTCCGTTCATCTTTATCAATTCTGCTCGGATCCGCTTGAACCTGTGAATATTTCGTTTGCTCTCTCGCTCCAGCATCATCTCTGCCTTTTTTCCCTCAGCAGCCCGTATTTTTTCTTTTAGTGCTTCCTCTGCATTCAAACAAACTTGCTTTTCTTTCTCTGCTGCGTTTGCCTTCGCCCTCTCTGTGCGTCTGGTTTGTCTAGCAGCATTTCTTTCCTTTCTCCTCTTCAGTCTCTCTTTCTTGTCTGCTGCTTTTTGCTCCTTCTCATCAATTTTTTCCTTTAACAAGCGTTGTTTCTCGGCTTCGAGTCGTCCCAACATCTCCTTTGAAAGGGCAGATCTTTCTCGTATCCTTTCTGACCGGTCTCTCAATAGAGCATCTCTTCTCTCCACTGCTTGCGATAATCTAGAAAGTAAATAAATTAAGTTAAGATTGCTATAACTCTAAAGGTTTCTTTGTCAACAGTCCTTAAGCAAACATCGAGAGACAGACAATTTTCTTTACTTACTTTCTCTCGATCTCCTCTTTGGTGAATGTGGACAGCTCCGGCAACCTGCTTGCCAGCATTCGCGGCCTACTCGCTTGTTGGTCCATGGATAAGCTTGACTGTGGTCTATTCAGCATGTCCACTTCCAACAGTTCAACATTGAAAGCGACAGATCTCGCACGACCGACTTCGTTCCTTTTTACAACGATCTTGCTCCTTACCGCCCTCCACTCTTCGAACTCTTCATCTACCGGCAACAGCAACTTAGCTGATGACGATTCAAACTTTTTTGGCTCAATTAGAACCAGTTCTGCAGACGAATTGACATCATCGTCGTTGCAGCCTTCGATTAGAAGATCCGATTCGTCTTTCAATTCATTTCCGCTAACCATCTTACCGTTGCTATTCTTTAGCGCTGCGTCTTGCGCAAGCGATATTGTTGCTGCAACGGCATTTTTATCGTAACAAAGCAAGCTTCGATACAACTTTTTATTAGGACGGCCTCCTGCTTCCAACTTAGATTCCTTTTGTCTTACGCTTAAAGGCAAAACTTTGTTGCTTTTCGAAAAAAGGTTACCTATTTTGATTCGTAATAACAAATGTCCAACACTGACAGTAGTCAACTTCTTTTGACAATTGGGAAAATTCTGCGCAAGTACATAATACTATGTACACTCCTTCTATCAAACGTCAGATTCATTTGTGTCTCGTTATCATAAATTGTTGCGTCATAAGCTGATAAGGGAGGCTGTAGCGCCAATGAATCTTATAAAGTTTATCGAACATACAATGCCTGCTATAAATACTTGGAACACCCAGCACTTTGCGTTGTATTTGATATCTTCCCGACCAAAATCTCTACTTCCAATCCCCTTCCCCTTCGACCTATGTTGTTAGTTTAGACAAATATCATACAAGTAAGATGCAAAAGCGGACACTCCAAAATATTCTACGACACCCTAAAGCAGTCCAGCATTGTTCCCTGAGGGAGAGGGGAATGGCTGAATTTGACCTTGAAAACTGACGGCATTGTTCCAAGAATTTGGGCAAACATTGTAGCATATATATCTTTATCTAGCAGAGTAGAATTGAACTTACTGAGTTCATATTGCAACTTTGATTTTCAAGCTAACTGAGTCACCAGGCATCCTGTTTGTCTTCAAGCACAGCTAAATGAGAAAAGCAAAGAACAACTAATAATATATGAAATAGTGCTTTTTGATAACCAAAGTGTGTTACAGTTGTCACTGTCATGCTTTGGTGACATTAAACCGTATCTGCGTATCTGCAAAGAAGGGTATTTGGAGAGAGATGAATAGGACGAAAAGCCATTTCTTTGAAGTAGTGATTCCATCAACTGGCACTAAAACAGATGGTGCCAATCTAGCAACTAGCAAAACAAAACAAATCGAAGGAAAGGTAATTTCCTCAATATATCTATTAAATATAATTTTAAGGCAGTATCGGAAGCTAAATCACGCATTGGAAGTGAAAATTAGAAATAGATCTTATAATCGACTCTTCTGAGCGATGACTACATATTTATCATAACATTTCAACTACGATGATTATTCGAAAATAATATTTGTAAATTAAATAGAGATGTTAATAGCCACTTTAAGTTACGGAATTGAGAAAATCCTCAAATCTCATTGAAGTGTCGATGTTTGCCTCTAAAACATTTGAGATTTTGTAGATATATCACAAGGGTTACATTTCAGATATTTTTAAGGAATCTTGTTAAACGAGTTTGATTAAAAATAAAAAACAACAAGCTAATTTTTTAAATCCGAAAAAATATTAAAACTCAAAATATTGGCTTTTGTTGCTGTTCCAAATCAATTAGGCCTAGCAATATTTTCAACATTGTGCAAAGTTAAAAACCCTCAAGATGACTTTTTTATCTATTATCAAAACTATTATTAAATTAATTCTGAATCATAAGATAGAGTATAACATGAATTAAAGACAATATTGCTGATACTGTGGCAAAGTCCTATAAATAATATCATTTTTCAAAAGTGCTAGAAGTATCTAAAGGGTGACATAAGTACCTAAAGTTCATAAGAATAAATTTCCTGGTATGGCTTACTGCTCTAATCTACTGCAACATTGCTGTGAGGTATGTAAGGCGAGAAGGACTCGCATCCAACAAATGTTGAAATGCATTAACAATTTTTGCTGTAGGAAAAATATTGATCAGCCTCCGAAAAATAAAAGCTTGTAGAAAAAGTTTTGCAAATACAACTAACATTGATTTTTGTTTCTAAAATTTAAAAAGTTTGTACAATTTCGGTGTACTTTTCCAGAAGTCTGGCTATTATCTATCATAAAATTTTGCCTATAAACACTCGTTATTGAAAATTTTGCTTGTGTTTGGTGAAGGTTTTAAGACATTGTAGGACAACTTTCTGCCTAGTTTTAACCATGAAATCATACATCGTTTAATCAAGTGTGATATCTGTGTTATAGAGAAGGACGATTACTAATCAGCACTGGCTTCAAAAAGTTACAAAAAGTTATTTTACGTGTTGACATTTTCTTTCATTCTATTTAATTAATTTTCACTTTTTGCTTTTTTATATTTTTCCTATTTAAGTAATGGATAATTTCTAGATACAATAATGGGAACTTTTAACGCTTAAATTTTTATTCCAAAACGCTTTTAATTTAATTTTATTCAAGAAAAATACTTTTCCATTTCAATTAGGTGATGCAATGTCTGAGATCATTTTTATCTCGTGAAAGGTTGCGAGCAATGCTGAGAAAATGTGTCAGCAACTTTCGTTTTAGTGTAATTCTGTGACGTTTGTACACTGACATTCAAAAACTATAGAGCCTTAGATAAACAAAATTCTAGTGTTGAATTTTATTATGTTTCGTAACAGAAATCAGTTCAGATTCTCTTGGTCTTTATTCATATAATATTTGTCTATGTTTCCTTGAAAAAATTCTTAAAAGTTTGAATTATAACCATGGAAACGTAGGAACCACGCGAATTATTACATATATTAGCAAAGTAAGATCAGAAGTTAAATGGCCTAGCATGAGTAAAGTCAGATGGCATTAAAAGTTCCTCAGAATTAGGCCAACAAACCCAAATACTTTATGATGCATATGCATAGCAAAAAATTCTACACAAGTAACGGTATCAAACAATTATTTTAGGTTCTTATTAGGTTTGCTGAATCAAACACGACAATATGAAGATGGTTAATTTTAGACTTTCACCCGAGCTGTGTCTTTTAACTGCTAAACATGCAAAGGTCAATATGATGACTAATATTTTGTAATCAATGGGTATTTTTCCATAGGTTCTTTGAATATAAACATTGTTATGATTTTCTAGATTGTTTACCTTATTACAAAATGTAGCTTTTTTCAAAGGCATTATAATACCACAAAAGAGACCTTTCATCTTTCCAAGCGTCTTTGGCATACCAACTCTCGGTAGACTTTTTCGCATTGTTGACATTTTACTGTTTAGTTAGCTCTTAATTTTTGAATTCTCCATGTTGGCATTCCAAGGTCTTAGAAATTTCTATGGTTTATTTTTTTCGAATCAATTGTCATCCCAACAATCTTCAAATAGTAAAAAGTAAAAATTTTATGCAAATGTAGAAGAAGGGATTAAAAAAGTCTCCAAAAACTCATTTCATCAAAAGCCTTCGAAATTTCGTAGGTGTCCCAATACTTTTTTAAACGAATCACATTTTTGCATTCAGTCTTCCATTCTTACAAAAGAAAAATAAAGGATATATGTCATATGAAAAATGGGATCTATTATGATGTGTTTGCCATGCCTGGAGACATTTTTCTATTTCTTCAAAATCCCTGTCTTAAATGAAAGCTTGTTTCGAAAATATTAATAATTTTAGGACAAAGAGAACATTTGTTTCCCTATTGATCCTTTTTCTATCATTTTAATGTCATTTCCAATATCGTTTTGAGGAATACAGCTTTGCTTGCTAGTTTTATCGAGGCAATTATGTAAAGGTACCACAAAAGAAAATAGAACTAAATCGCAAATATCATAGGAATGACTATTTCAAAAAATAGTTGCTGATTCAAAACAATTTACAAAGAATGAGCTTCATATATGTCACGAATCTTTCAGTGTTTATAAATTCAGGATTGATTGTTTATATAGATTCATCAATCCCCATTAACGACTACAACAGAACCCAAGCGATAATAATCAAAAAAAGAGTGGCATGGCTCGAGTTGCCAAAAATTCACCAATTTATTTTAATGTAGATATGGTAATAATATTCTTTAACGTTCATCATATTTATCAACGTCGTTTGCATTTAAATCCCCTATCTTCTGAAATTTAGCGCCAATTCATGTGTCTTTGTGCCCCTCTGAACAATGATGCACGGCTTTCTATCATTGAATGTTGCTAGTTGTCACTTTAGGTGGCGCTCTCTGTCACTCTATACCATTCTATGTTGCTCTGTGTTTCTCTGTAAAGCTCTGAGCCTCCGTCTGTCACCCTGTGTCACCCTGTGTCACTCTGTGTCACTCTGTGTCACTCTGTGTCACTCTGTGTCACTCTGTGTCACTCTGTGTCACTCTGTGTCACTCTGTGTCACTCTGTGTCACTCTGTGTCACTCTGTAAGGCTCTGTGTCATAATTTTTTGCTTTGTGTCGCTCTATGTTACTCCGTGCCACACTGTGTCTCATTTTGTTGCTTTTTGTTGCTATGTAACGGGCTGTGTCGCTCTGTGTCTCATTTGGTTGCTTCATGTTGCTATGCACCGGTCTGTGTCACGCTGTATTGTTCTGTATCGCTTTGCTCCATTCTGTGTTACTCAGCATCACCCTCTGTTACTCTGAATGGATATCAACCTGCGTTGCTCTGTGTCACTCTTCGTAGATCTATGTTGCTTTGTAATATTCGGAATTGCATTGCCCCACTGTGTCACTCTCTGTCTTTCTGAGCAGCTCTGTTTCACCCTTTGTTGGGCTGTGCTGCTCTGTTTTGCTCTAAAGAACAGTGTCCATCTGTGTCAGTCTGCCACCTTCCGCCTTTCTATGTTTTCAAGATTAATCAAGTTCAGTTCATTAACACTCAGTTGAAATGCAATTATTTCAAACCTCAATTAAGTCAAATTGCTATTCGATGTCTTTATTGCAGAACCCCTCTATTTCATCATTAAAAATAACGTTCCTTCAAAACCTTCCAATTGTCCTAATCCAGATCCTCTTAGAGCTCTATTACCCCATCTGAAATATTTCCATTACTGAAAATCCCATTTATTATCTTTTTTATATTTTCCTCTAGCAATCCCAGAAGGGATCCTTTGTGATTTCTGTGATTTCTGGTTCCTCAGCGAATACATTATTTGAATCGCCATCAAAAGTCTCTAGCCTAACCTCTTCTTCAGAAGACTGCTCAAGCAATGCGTAGACCTATAAAAAATATGAGAATCTATATGAGATATAAACATATAGACCAATAAACAAATGCAGCCTTAAACTTAAAATCAAGGTCTTTTGCATGCAATGATAGCAAAGACCTACAAAAACAGTCCCTTAGAAATTTTCAATTAAGGTTTAAGAACATCAATGTTCGCAAAAGTGTATTTAGACAACATTCACCTTGTCTAACGCTGCTTTGGACCTCATAGCCTCCTGTCTCTTATCCTGGCCAGGAATATTTTCATTTCTATCCTCTAATGTTGATCTGTCTTTTCTTACATTTTCTTTCATCTTTATCAATTCTGCTCGAATCTGCTTGAACCTGTGAATATTTCGTTTCCTCTCTCGCTCCAGCATCATCTCTGCCTTTTTTCCCTCAGCAGCCCTCATTTTTTCTTTTAGTGCTTCCTCTGCATTCAAACAAACTTGCTTTTCTTTCTCGGCTGCGTTTGCCTTCGCCCTTTCTGTGCGTCTGGTTTGTCTAGCAGCCTTTCTTTCCTTTCTCCTCTTCAGTCTCTCTTTCTTGTCTGCTGCTTTTTGCTCCTTCTCATCAATTTTTTCCTTTAACAAGCGTTGTTTCTCGGCTTCGAGTCGTCCTAGCATCTCCTTTGAAAGGGCAGATTTTTCTCGTATCCTTTCTGACCGGTCTCTCAAGAGAGCATCTCTTCTCTCCACTGCTTGCGATAATCTAGAAAGCAAATATATTAAGTTAAGATTGCTATAACTGTTAAGGTTTCTTTATCAACACTCCTTAAGCAAACATCCAGAGGCAGACAATTTTCTTTACTTACTTTCTCTCGATCTCCTCTTTGGTGAATGTGGACAGCTCCGGCAACCTGCTTGCCAGCATTCGCGGCCTACTCGCTTGCTGGTCCATGGATAAGCTTGACTGTGGTCTATTCAGCATGTCCACTTCCAACAGCTCAACATTGAAAGCGATAGATCTCGCACGACCGACTTCGTTCCTTTTTACAACGGTCTTGCTCCTTACCGCCCTCTACTCTTCGAACTCTTCGTCTACCGGTAACGGCGACTTAGCTGATGACGATTCAAACTTTTTTTGGCTCAATTAGAACCAGTTCTGCAGACGAATTGACATCATCGTCGTTGCAGCCTTCGATTAGAAGATCCGATTCGTTGTTCAATTGATTTCCGCTAACCAACTTACGGTTGCTATTTATTAGCGCTGCGTCTTGCGCAAGCGATATTGTTGCTGCAACGGCATTTTTATCGTAACAAAGCAAGCTTCGATACCACTTCTTATTAGGACGGCCTCCTGCTTCCAACTTAGATTCCTTTTGTCTTACGTTTAAAGGCGAAACTTTGTTGCTTTTCGAAAAAAGGTTACCTATTTTGATTCGTAATAACAAATGTTCAACACTGACAGTAGTCAACTTTTTTTGACAATTGGGAAAATTCTGCGCAAGTATATAATAGTATGTACATTTCTTCTATCAAACGTCAGATTCATGTATCTCGTAATCATAAATTGTTACGTCATAAGCTGATAAGGGAGGCTGCAGCGCCAAAAACCTTCGAAAAAATTAATCGAACCTACAATGCCTGCTATGAATACTTGGAACGAACACACAGCACTTTGCTTTGTATTTGATATCTTCCCGAAATGAAAACCTACTTCCAACCCCCTTCCGCGTCGGACTATGTTGTTAGTTCAGACAAATATCATACAAGTAAGATGCAAAAGAAGATACTCCAAAATATTCTACGCCGTTCTAAAGCAGTCCAGCATTATTTCCTGTGATAGAGGGGAATGGCTGAATTTGACCTTGAAAACTGACGGGATTGTCCCAAGAATTTGGGAAGACATTGTAGCATATATATTGAACTTACTGAGTTGAATGTTGCAACTTCGATTTTCAAGCTATCTGAGTCACCAGGCATCCTGTTGGTCATCAACCTAAATGAGAAAGCAAAGAACAACTAATAATATATGAAAACGCACTTTTTGATAACAAAAGTGTCTTACAGTTGTAAATGTCTTGCCTTGGTAACATTAAACCAAATGCAATACTTGTGAAACATTAGAGTAAAGGGGAGGCGTATTTGCAAAGCAGTATATTTGGAGAAAGAGATTTGGAAAAGGAACTCTGAATTGTAGATGAATAAATTATACATAAGACGAAGTTTCTTTGAAGTAGTGATTCTATCAACTAGCACTACAACAGATAGTGCCAAACTAGCAACTAGCAAAATAAAAAAATTGAAGAAAAGTTAATTTTCTCAACATCCCTATTGAATATATTTTCAAGTCAGTGGCGGAAGCTAAATCACGCATTGGATGTGAAAATTGGCAAAACACGTGCCCCTTCTAATTTGTTTTCAGAAAGAAAACTATTTATGAAACTATTTATCAATTTTGAAACTGATAAGCACAATTAAATTCAGTTGATAATCTATTGAAACACATACGAAATACTTTTTAATTGCTTGTTTAAAATCAACATTGTTGATCAGGAATTTCCTGAAGGTTTTGAATATTTTGATTCTTAATGAATATTAACTAGACTTTTAAGGATTGTGGTTGAAGGAGAATACTGTGCATGAATCTTTATGCAAACAAATTATGTGTTGTTCAAAACTTAATAATTGTTATAACTTTTTTGTTGTCATAATTTTTCATTCGTTTTATGTTTTCCTCGGAATTAAAAATAAATTCTATCAGATTTACAAAAATAAAAGTAATGTGGCTTAACAAAATCTATGGTATTCTTATAAAAAACACAGAAGGACAAAATGTAAGACACAGAATTAAATTTGAAAATGGCTTTGAAAAAAGCAAACATTTTACGACATACTAAAAGCTTTTCGTCTGACACTCCTCAGAGCATAAAACGTCAGAATAGGTTCCGAAAAAACACGATGGAAAAATATATACCCAGTTGTGGATCGAAATAGACCAATCAGAAAAACGCAAGCACAAGACCGGTTGACCCAGATTGTGCAAAACTCTATAATGACGACATGTTTCGGATAATTGGCAGAGCCCGGTCGTCCTTCCATCTAGCAGTTTTGGAGTCGATCTACATACAAACGAAAAAGCCGCCATTGTGTAGACAAAAGGAGTTCGTTTTCTCTCTTGGACTCCATTGGTAATTTTTCTTTAGGCTCGCGGCACTGATTGGTCAACTATAGCGGTCTTGTGCTTGCGCTTTTCTGATTGGCCTATTTCGATCCACAAATGGGTATATATTTTTCCATCGTGTTTTTTCGGAACTTATTCTGACGTTTTATGCTCTGAGGAGTGTCAGACGAAAAAGCTTTTAGTATGTCGTAAAATGTTTGCTTTTTCAAAGCCATTTTCAAATTCTGTACCGCAAAAAATTGTTCACATTTTTAGAATTAAATTTCTTTTAACAAACTGTAGTCTCAGTGGGCTCTAATTTCTTTAAATTTTTCTTGTCATTAATTTCTCTAAGCGACAAAATTTGATGAAACATTGAAGTGGCATCAATCTATTCACCTAATAGAATTTTAGATATATGCAGAAAGGTTTAAAAGAGTCAAAACAAGTGCTAGAAATGCTCCAATCGACCCACTAGATTGTTTTTTTCACTAATTGTTCCAATATTAGTGTTATAGTATCTTTTCAATATAGTATCTTTTCAGGGGTTATTCTAACGTGGTTTTGTTACCGTTTTATGATGTTGTAAATTTGATCTGTGGCCTTGTGATTTTAATTTCGTTGGTGTTGTAAAAAATTTGATTCACTGGAAAAAATTTTCGCAGAATATAAGGAATCGTTTAGTAAAACTAGAAGAATTTCAAATCAAAACAAAAACTTAACACAACAGAAGTATTATAGTAAATAGTCAGCAGGGACGGATTTAAGCAACAATGATTGGGTGTTAGACAGTAATTGGATTTCTGTACATACCCTTCAGGTCACTGGTAAATGAAAGATTCGCCCATTCTTAAAATTCAGTTTTTACCTTTAAGGTAAAGTAGATAAAAAGCAGTGGCGTAGCCAGAGTTGGGAGGCAAAGAGGAGAAAATTCTTGCTGATCACAACCTTAAGAATTTGGGAAAACACCCTGTTTTGAATATCCGTTTGGAAAAGCTATGGCTTTTTTTACGTGGCAATGATTGGCTAATCAAACAGTCATTAGTAGCTTTTTGTAACTGACCCCTACAACTGTAAGTTTCTTTCACAAAAGTTCCAAACTAAGCCTGTTCACCTTGAAGCATAATTTACAAAATCTCCGACAAGCATTTCAGAATCCAGGTTTTTTAAGGATTGAAGCGCTTTAACATTTCAGTTTCTATTCTATGTCTATAAAAAGTGGAGGACTTTTCTATAGAGACCCTAAAATTAAGGGAAATTGTAAAACACTCTGTAAAGGTAGACTGCTGATAATAAGAAAAATACAGTAAAACCTTGGCGTTACTCGAGGATGCTCCTGCCAATAGCGTCTCTTTTGGCTGAAAATCCGGGGAAAGGGAAATTCTCAATCTTTTTTTTACTGGCAGAGGTATGCCCATCGAAGATACTTTTTCCAGAACAGGTGATATTTGTCATTAAATGTGAAGCCTTGTCCATTCTATAGCTTTCTCATTTAAAGCTCAAATTTGGAATTAATGCTCTTATTCCAGGATAGGTCTCATGTTTACAGAATTGCTTTTCCAGGAAAGGGTCAAAAAATTATTGCAGAAGGCACATCCCTGTGATTTTTCTCCAAGGTAGACCTCCGGGGTTAAAGGGTTCCATATTTCGAGTACTGACAAATTAAAATGCCATGTACGTACAGATTTCATGTGCAAATGTACATATAATGATATAATGATGATTTTACTTCACGTGAATGTTTTCAAAACATTGCATGCACTCATTAGCCTACTAACATCACACGAATGCGGCTCTGCATCTAGCCCCCCAGCCAATGCTTGCATAAGATACGGATATAGATCTTTATTCATATTGCGAGACATAACCAAATTTGCCAGTTTCATATTTTTCATTGCTGTAATACCAGTTCCGCAACATCCAGATTCAAGCATATTCTATTGTGCACTTTATAATGGGTGCCCAGGTTGTATGTTTATTTGTCTAACAGGGTTTAAAGTTTCATCAATTTTCTACCACTCACGTGCATAGAACATAGGGGACTGTGCCCTATTATTCGGGCCGAGATCTACTGCTTTTTGAGTATTTGCTTTCTTATTAGGTGAAACTACACCATCCTCCATATCCTCTCAAAATTTACAGGCTACAGCGGCGGCTAGAGAAAGAAGAAATATTTTTGAGGTCAGTGGTTCTTATGCTACCGTTTTTTTGGTTTCTTCTCAACAGTAAAGTTTAAAAGTTTAACGGAAAAAATACCAATGATTGAATTTGTGGTGTTGTAAATTTTTCGTAGAATGTCCTGTTTAATATTATTTTTCAAATAAGTTTACGAAGAAGAGGATTGGTAGTCAAATAGCGCAGATGCAGGTACACCCAAACATTTTCCAATTATCCCTATAACAGTGTATTGAATGGAAAGCAACACACATGCTGGATTTCTTTCAAGTATATAAATATAGGTATGGAAACCTCCAACGGATCGGATTGCCAAGTAAAAAATGCCCTTCTTAATAAGACTTTCAATTACACATATTTAATCTGAATTAATCGACTCTTCTGAGAGATGGCTACATATTTATCATAACAGTTCAACTACGATGATAAGACCTAATCTAAAAAAGAAAATATTATTTGAAAATTAAATATAGATGTTAATAGCCACTTTAAGTTACGGAATCGAGAAAATCCTCAAATCTCATTGAAGTGTTGATATTTGCCTCTAAAAGATTTGAGATTTTGTGAATTTATGTAACGGTCACAAGAGTTACATTTCAGATATTTTTATGAAAGAGAAGAAGGAGATGAAAGTTGAAATAAATGAAACA